AAATGGATCATCAACCTAAATGTATGACCTAAAACTACATATCTCTTAGAATAATACATAGGAATGAATCCTTATGACCTTGGATTCAGGAATAATTCCTTAAATATGACACCAAAAGCACAGCAAGAAAGAAAAAAAACAAATAAATTGTACTTCATCAAAAGTAAAAACTGTTTTGCTTCAAAGGACTTAAGAAAGGGAGAAGACAAACCACAAAATGGGAGGAAATATTTGGGAATCATATATCAGATAAAGGAATTGTATACACACACACACACACACACACACACACACACACACACACACACACACACTTAGAACTCAACAACAAAAGGACAAACAACCCAGTTAAAAAATGGGCAGTGTATTTGACATTGCTCCAAAAAATATATACAAATAGTCAACACACACATGAAAAGATGTTCACCATCATTAGTCATTAGGGAAATGCAAATCAAAACCACAATGAAATATCACTTCCCATCCACTAGGATGGCTATAATAAAAAAGACACATAATAACAAATGATGAGAATGTGGAGGAATTGGAACTCACATGCACTGCTCGTAGGAGTATAAAATCATGCAGCTACTTAGAAACAGTAGGTCAGTTCCTAAAACTGTGAAACATTGAGTTACCAAATGACCCAGCAATTTCACTCCTAGGTATCTACCAAAAAGAATTGAAAACATATGTCCTCTCAAAAGTGTGTACATGAATGTTCATAGCAGCATAACTCACAATAGCCAAAAATGCAAACAATCCAAATGTCTATCAACTGATCAATGGATAAACAAAATGTGGTATTTTCATACAATGTGATGTATTTTCAACAATAAAAATGAATGGAATATTGGCACATGCTACAAAGAAAATGAACCTTGAAAACATGTTAAGTAAAAAAAGCCAGACACAAAAGACCACATCGTATGATTCCGTTTATATGTAATGTCCAGAATAAGCGAATCTAAGACAGAAAGTAGATTAGTAGTTGGTAAGGGCTGGGAGGAGGGAGAGCAGATGATAGAGATGGAAATGGTTAGTGACTGATGATGGTTACATATGGGTTTTCTTTTTGGGGTGGTAAAATGTTCTGAAATTAGCCGTGATGGTTGCACAATTCTGGGAATACACTAAAAAACTCCTGATGCAAGAAATCAAACAACTAATTACATGGAGAGATATTCCATGATCATGGATAGGAAGACTCAATATTGTCAAGATGCTATTTCTTCCCAACTTAAACTGTAGCTTCAATGCTCCCCAATCAGAATACCAGCAAGTTATTTTATGGATATCAATGAACTGATTCTGTGGGATGCAAGAGGGACGGGAAAGGGTTAACAAAGACATGAGCCGAGTATCAGGTTAAAGAAGGCCAGGGGACTCAAGTCCCAAGGACTGAGCCCCAAATCGGGCTAACGCATAACTTTTATTATTCATATCTACAAAGGAGTAAATTTGTTTTTCTCTACCCAATCTGTTGAGTCTACGTGCCCAGCAACTGTTTTCCCCGAAGTCACATTGTGCTCCAGCACGTACTGTGCCTTCACACACACACACACACACACACACACACACACACACACATCAGATAAGGAAGCTTTACCGATATCATTCCCTCGGGTCCAGCACGTACTGTGCCTTCACACACACACACACACACACACACACACACACACACACACACACACACACGCACGACCCTGGAGGATGGACTCAGCCTTCCAAGGCCATCAGATAAGGAAGCTTTACCAAGATCATCCCCTCGGGTCTCAGCCTTCCAAGACACTTCCTTATAACTTCATGGGATCAGCGCAAACAGTCGGTTTGTCAGCTGCGACGTTACACTAATCAACTGGTTTTTGACAAAGGAACAAAGGTAAATCAATGGATAAGGGATAGTCTTTTCAACAAATGGTGCTGGAACAAACTGGATACCCACATGCAAAAAAATGAATCTCGATACAGATCTTACACCTTTCACAAAAATTAAACTAGGCCTAAATGTAAGCATAAAACCATAAAATTCCTAGACGATAACATGGGAGAAAATCTTGATGGCCTTGGCTTTAGTGATGATTTTTTAGATACAACACAGACATGAGCCATGAAAGAAAGAGTTGAAAAATTGAATTGCATTTAATTTTAATTAAAATCTTTTGTTCTGCGAAAGACACTGTCAAGAGATTGAGAAGACAAACTGCTCTTTTTTTTTCATTTTTCAATCCTTCATTTTGGAATGTTCTACTGACCTATCTTCCACATCACGAATCCTGATTTCTGCCTCAATCAGACTGCTGTTGAATATACCCAATGGGTTCTTATTTCCAGTTATTGTAATTTTTATATTTAGAATGTCCACATGATTGTTTTTCTAGATTTCAGTTCTAGATTGGAGTAAATTATCCATCTTTTCACCTTTGCGTATCTTTTCCTCTTTTTTCTTAAACTTGCTAGTCATAGTTATTTAAAGTCCTGTCAGCTCTAATACCTGGGTCTGTTTCTGTTCATTTTCAGTGTTTAGTCATTTGGATTTGATGTTTAGCATGCCTCATAATTTCATACTGGATCCTAGACATTGTGGATAAAAATAATTGTAGAGGCTCTGGAAAATATTATCTACCTCCGAAGAGTTCAGTTTTGTTCTAGTAGGCAGGAAGAATACTGGCAGGTCACGTCGATGCTGTAAAGACTTGGTTTTCAGCTTTGTGTGATCTATTTCAGTATTGCACTTACTCTAAGGTTGTTGGATCTGAACTGAGTGGTGAGCCCTGGGTGTCTTTCTACCTTGAAGAGGCTTGAAGTCCAATGTGGTGTTGGATGCTGAAATCTCTGCTTAGCTCATAAGCCTCTAAACTGCTGTTTTCTGGTGTGTTTTTTGGCCCCTTGCTTGGTGCATGCTAGGGTTAGGAACTGGCCCCTAACTTGAGGGGATCTGTACAGAGGCTATTGAGCTACTTCTCCACCGTTCTCTTCTCTCTGCGAGTTCTCCCTCCAGCAGCCACTTTGGCAGCCCTCAGTGTTGACCTCTGACTCTTCAGCCCAGTAATACTGCCATCTTTTACTTGACCTTTATTCCCTAGCTCCTGACTTGGGAAATTGCCTCAGGAGAAGCAGCCCAGGGTGGATATGGAGCTCACCTCGTGTGCTTGTCTTCTCTCAAGGATCATAGATTCAAGCCCTGCCTGCATTGGTTACTCTTTGATGTCTTCACAGAGTTGTTTTTATATATTTTTTTCTATATTTATATACATACAATGTTTATGTATTTATAAATATAGCCTATTCTAGCCCACTCCCCCCACCAAGGGAGCAAGAGTTAGTTTGATGCATGCTACTCCATCTTGACTGGAACTAGAAGCCTTTAAACGTCTTAGCTTTTGGGTTTGCAGCAATTCCACTCAGCTGCTCATTTGCCCCAGCTAATAAAGATAGCATATTCTCTTTAAATTGGGGTAATGCATTCCTTCTAATTGGTGTATCAGATAAAATCTATCACTCGTGTGTGGGCAGAGCCAAAGTCTGAGTCAGCTAGAACAGCAGCTTCAGCGAAGTAATAGGATTAGAAGCCCAGCTGCAGAGAATTAGATGGTAAAGAATGAATGGAAGTCAGGCAGCATAGATGCCAAATGAACCCAATGTATTTATTTAAGCAAGTTGGTTCTAAAGGGAAGCGAGAGCTATTGTGGTTAGAGGGGGGAGGACTTTGTTTTAGGGATGAGGGACTCGAATATGTTTATAGGCTGGGGGTGGAGCTAATGGAGAAGGGGAGGCCAAAGATAGAAGACAAGAAAAGAGAATTAATTTAATAATTTCTTAGTAGTGATGAAAGTGGTAGGGTAAATTGCCCAGGTTAGATAGACTTGGGGGGGGAAAAAGAGAGGTAAAGGTATAGATTAAGTTGTTAGGAGATTTGAGAGAAAGAATAAGATAACCTGATAGTGCCATTTTCTGGAGGCAGTCGGAATCATGATGGGAAGGACCACTTAAAGAAATAGTAAAGAAGTAGAATTAAAGATGGGATGAGGTGGATGAGTGAGAGAGGTAAGTCTCTGAAGACTCCCAGGCTTGGGGCTTGGGCAACTGGGTGGATGTTAGTGTTGGGATTGAAAAAACAAACAAACAACTGAGGACTGAACATCAGGTTTGGGAGGAAAAATGAGTTAAGGATGAGTTCAGCTTTGTTCACACTGAGTGAGTACGATATATCAACAGTAATGACAATTGCCTGCAAACCTTGGGATCCATATTATCCACTACAAAGATAAGCCTCCTCCCATGCAGGTCTGTGCTATGTATTACTAGAATAGTGTAGTAGAAGCATTCTCCCTTGCTGGAGACTTACTAGGTTCTATATTACACAGAGGATATTGTGTAATATAAGAAAAGCGTTTTCAGAACGTGTAGTGGAGGATCTATTTGACTTATGAACTTTTTTTAACCATGAAAACATTCCCTTGACATAATGGTGGATACCAAGCTATGTATACTTTCCTGTATGACTTCTTCATGAAAAATGGCCATCAGAAAGGCTCAACTGAAAGGAAAATCGAGGTTGTTTAGGAGAAAGCTTTTTACAATAAAGGGAACATTGAAAGGAAAAGTAACTTTTAAAAGAGGGGCTGAGGTAGAAAGGGAGCTAGCCAACAACCAGGAGAAGCAGTGCTTCTCTGGAGAAAATCAGAGGAAAGTAAGGTTTGGTGGGAGGAGGAGGACAAAAACCGGGAAAATTTGGAGACAGGAGGTAAGAAAAGGAAACACCTTGAGAGGTTGGAAATTGAGGACGGTGACCATGGAGCAGATAGGAAGAAAAAAAAGATTGAGGTCTGGGAATGAAAAGATCTCCAGGTCGAGGTAGCGGGTGGAGGGCGAGCGGGAGGTGACAGAGGGTGAAGAGGCGGCGGCGGGCGTTTGTGGGAGAGACCGAGCAATCTGGGCGGAGCAGGTGGCAGAGGCAGCGGCGCAGGAGGCCTCGCCCTTCCAGGTCCCCCGCAACAGTGACAACGGGAGCGGATGGTCATCCGCGCCCTGGCAGTGCGGGAAGACCAAGCAGGGACAGTCCCTAGGCCTGGGGGACCAGGCCCTGGGAATCCATGAAGACGACCGGCAGCGGGTCCTCCTGCTGCCGCCGCCGCTGCTGCGACTGCAGCTGCTGCTGCCGCGCGTCCCGCCTGGCGCGCCACGCACCGCGCGGGTCCGGGGAAGCGGCGCGAGCCCCCCAGCCCTCGCGGCAGTCTCCCGGCCTGGAAAGACGGCATCCGGAGCCGGCCAGGAGCTGGGCAGCGGCGGCCGAGGAGGAAGAGGCGGCCGCGGCGGCTGCACCCTGGATGAGGTGAGAGCGCCGGGGATCCCGGGGCTGCAGATGGCACCGTGCGCTGGGCAGCAGAACCGCTCCTGGGGCTCGAGACCCGGGCGCCTGGGAGGGGTTGGTGCGGAGTGACATTCGCCTGGAGAAGACTGGAGAGCACGGGGGTGTGGTTAGGGGATGATGGGGTTGGGGGCGGGGATGAGAAGCGGGGGAGACAGTGGGGAGTTGTCTAGAAATAAAGGGGTGGCGCTGGATAAAGCTCGGGAGACCCAGTCTCTATCCCAGGGTCTTGGCTTAACGTGCAGACACTCGCTTTGTTGGCGGAAACGAGGTTGAAGGTCATGCCTGTTGGGTCGCTTCAAAGGAGAGATGAAAAGGGGATTCAGGAGGCGATGCCAGGATGGAAGCATTAGGGATAGTGACAGAAGATGAAGGGTCAGGAAGTGTGCTTACCTATGCTTACCCCCCCCCCTTTTTTAAAATTACATACAGACAGCAGGGGGTGGGTTTGGTGATGTTTCTTTTCTCCTAGGCTACCTCTCCTTCCCCGCAGTGCTGGAGCCCTGCCTGTTGGCTGGACCAGGCAGCACAGGACAGGCTCTTACCTACACCCAATCCCTCCCGTGGCTCTGACTTGGAAGACCAGACACATTAGCCCCCTGTTTTCTTCATGTAGCAGCAGCAGGAGGAAAATCTGCCATTCACGATTTTTTTTTGGAGAAGAGACAGATTGTGCTGCTGCCTTTTTTGAAAGAAACATTTCCTTGTCATAGAGTCTTTGGCTTATTCTTTCATGGGAAGCTAGGACTCTTAAATCCAACTATTAATACAAGGCAGCCGCCTCGAAGCTGCCATGAGCTAATTGGAATCTGAGAAATGTTACTTCGTTTCTCTGGGCCTGTTTCCTATGCATAAAATCAGGATTTGGATCTATTGAGAATTACAGATCGAAAATATTTAGTGGGCTCTGTATTCTGTGATCAAGACTATGCTTCAATTTTGAGCTAGGAAACTTAGTTTATTCACAGACACTTAATTGTGTTTCTTCATCACACTATCCACTGTTACTTTGAGAAAACTGAGTCAGACATTCAGTCAACAGTGCTTAAAGGAATCACAGTTCTATTAAAAACCCCACAATCAATTACCACTTGTAAGAAGGAATGAAGCAAGTAGTATTCATTATTTAAAATTTTTTTATAAAGTAGAATGTTAGCCCAAACATAATTACTTTTTTTTTCAACATGTGTATCTATGGGTTTTGGAATATTTTTCACAGACTACCTTGGAATTTTTTTAAAGCCCGAAACAAAAAAAGTTTGCTTGATGTATATTTATAACTTATATACACTGGGGTAAACTCTTTTCATCAAAAGAAGCATTACTATTGCCAATATTTTAAAAAATATTTTATCGGGCAATTGGGGAAGGGGAACAGCCAAGTTGTTGTCCTTCAATCTTAGTTGTGGAGGGCGCAGCTAGCTCAGCTCCAAGTCCAGTCTCCATCTGGTCAGCCGACGGCAGCTTGCGACCGCTCAGCTCAAGGTGCCCTGTTCAATCTTAGTTGCGGGTGTGCGTAGCCACCATCCCATGCAGGAGTCAAACCAGCAGCCTTGTTGTTAAGAGTGCAGGCTCTATCCACTGAGCCATCCAGGTGGCAGCTCAGCTCAAGGTGCCAAGTTCAGTCTTAGCCGCAGGTGGGCATAGCCTACCATCCCATGCGGGACTGGAACAGGCAACCTTTTTGTTAGGGGCATGTGCTCTCATCAGCTGAGCCATCCTGCCACCTGTTGGCAGCTCAGCGACAGCTCAGCTCGGTTGCAGCTCACTGGCCCATGTGGGAATTGAACCAATGAGGCTGTTGCTTAGAGCTCACTCTCTTAACCAACTGAGCCACTCTGCCAGCTCCTAAAAATTTTTAAATAACTTCAAACAGAGTATCAAGGGCTATAAATGCATTCTTTCTTCCCTGGATAGTGAGCGTCATTAATAACCAACCTATTGATCAAGGTTTACCTTTTGCATAAAGATATCCAATTGTTCCAGTAATGTTTGTTGAGAAATCTCTCCTTTCCCAGTTAATTGCCTTGGCACTTTGTTTGAAATCATTTGACCATATATGCGTGAGTGTCTGAATATTCAATTCTGTTCCATTAATCTATTTGTCTACATGTATCTTTAGACCAATACCTTACTGTCTTGATTAATGTAGCTTTATAAGTCTTGGTATCATGTAGTGTAAGCCCTCTGACTTTGTTCTTCTTGTTCAAAATCGGGCTATTCTAGGTCCTTTGCATTCCCATGTACATTTTAGAATCCAGTTACCAATGCAGATGAAAAGCCTGCTGGGAATTTGAGTGAGATTGTATTGAGTCTATAGATTAATTTGGAAAGAATTGATATTTTAATAATATTGGGTCTTCTGATCCATAAGCATGGTATATCTCTCCATTTATTTAGATCAGTAGTGCTCAGCTAGGCACACTTGTGTATCACAAAGGACATCTGGACACATTTTTGGTTATTATAACTCACGGCAAGGGTGATAACGGCATCGAGTAGATAGAAGTCAGAAATACTGGCAAACATCCTTTCATACACAGAACAGTGCTGACAATAAAGAATTATCCAGCCCAACACATCAGTAGTGTCGAGGGTGAGAAACCCTCATTTAGCTCAACTCTAATTTCTCTCAGCAGTGTCCCATGTTTTTAGTACATAGGATTTACACTTCCTATGAGACACCCTTCAATTCTATATCTTTTTAATTCTATTATAAATGATAATGTCTTTAAAATTTCAATTTCTGATTGTTCATTGCTAATTTATGCTGATTTTTGTATATCGATCCTGTATCCTAGAGCTTTGCTAAATTCACTATTTAGTTCTGGTAGATATTTTCTAGATTCCATAAAATTTTCTATATGATGATGATGTCATCTACAGAGAGAGAAATACAATTTACTTCTTTCTTTCCAATCTCTATGTTATTTATTTATTTTTTATTTATTATACATTTTATTGGGGAACAGTGTGTTTTTCCAGGACCCATCAGCTCCAAGTCAAGTAGTTGTTTCAATCTAGTTGTGGAGGGCGCAACTCAGTGGTCCATGTGGGGATCGAACTGACAACCTTGGTGTTACGAGTACTGCACTCTAACCAACTGAGCTAACCAGCCGCCCCTATTTATTTATTTTGTCTTATTGCACTAGCTAGCACCTCTAGTACCACATCGAATTGAAATAGTGAGAGCAAACATCTTTGTCTTGTTCCTGATCTTAGGAGGAAGGCATTCAGATGTTACCTATTGGTTTTTTATGGTACCTTTTATCAAGTTGAGGGAGCTCCCTTCTATTCATCATTTTCTGAGCGTTTTCATTAGCAATGGATGTTTAATTTTACAACTGAAAACTACAAACCAGTATCCCTCCTGAACATAGATGCAGAAATTTTTAACAAAATTTTAGCAGATCTAATCCAACAACGTAGAAAGGATAGTTTATCATGACTAAGGGGGATTCATCCCAGAAATAAAGTTGATTTTAGCATTCTTAAATCAATCCGTGTAATTCACCAGTTAACAGAATAAAAAAGAAAAATGATATAGGCATGTTAATTGATATAACATTAAACATCCATTGCTTTTTTTAAAAAAGAGTAATTCCCGCGTGCCTCCCTCCCCCCGCTTAACTTGAGGAATGAGTTCACAGATGCCTGAATTAGTCCAAACAGAATTTTTCCCGAGCTTCCCGAAGGAGGCAGATTTTCTGCTAATGGACGGGAACCTGAGAGAGAATGGAAGCCTGGGCCTGCTGGCAGATAACGTGCTACCTGGCAGGTGCTGAAAATAAAACCAGCACAGACAATAATTAAGAGAAAGAGGGAATCCTATTGTTGGAGGTTCTGTATGAAGCTGCATTGGAAACCTCCAGTTGAGGTGTTTTGTTTAACCCTAATTGAAGTTTTATCCCCACTCAGCATGTGGGTTGTGGCAGTTAGGTGATGGGACAAAGGGATGGAGGACACTGCAATGGAGAAAACCCTGTATAATATTAAAAATGTCTTCACAGTAGTGTTCGTGGTGGACAGGGGATGGCAGGCAGGGAAATACCTGCCTCAGGACACTCCAGCTTCGTCTTCACTTACTGTTCTCTCAGTCTTCTTTGCCCGAGTCCCAAACCGAATTCTGTAATTTAGATTTTGATCACTGACACCCACAGCAGCAGCATTAGCGTTGTTAGTATTACATGTATAATTTGCATTATTAATATTCTTTATTGAGCACTTATTCCATGCCAGGCCATATCCTAGGCGATCAATAAGCATAATCTCATTTAATTCTCACTACAATTCTGTGAGCAAGATGCTATTATTATGCCTACTTTTATAGAAACTTTGAATAATTTGAGAAGATCCCACAGATATGAAGTGGTAGAGGTGGTGTTTAATTGGCAGGTGCATTAGAGTAATGATTTTCTCCATCTTGCATGCTGAAAATTTGTTTTCCCTTTCAGTGACCTTAGATTTGCTTTTCCTTAAAAAACAAATCAAAGCAAACAAAAAGCCTTCAATAGAGCTTTGACAAAAAGTGGCCTGGTCTCCAGATTAGCATATCAAGTGTGAAAGGTCATCTGTTTTAAAATTATAAGCTGTGCTACTAAAATCTGACCTTGTGGGGATTTGCTTTCAATTCATATGGCGAAATGCCTGAAGGTCAACCCAGAGAAATGAATGACCTATTTAAAACTAAAGGAAGTGTGCTTGGACATGACCAAGAATCTATCAAAAAACCATCAGATAGCTCAATATTCAGGTTAATAAAAATGAGCGAGTTGCATATTTCAAAGGAAAATCTGGGACACTTCAACCAACAAAGACTTAAAGCGAGCTGGGCTCTCTGCCCAGAACAACGAGCACATGTGTTCACAGAATGGGGGGCTTTTGTCCACTGTATGTGTGCTCATGTACACCCACATTTAACCACACAATACTAGTTCAGAGAAAGTGGAATGAGTAAAAGAAAT